ATCGTTCAAAGGCGATAAACCCGTAAACAGGTTTGGAACTTTTACTTTTGTGAAGACCTATTTCAACCCAGCTACTATAAAGCCACCTTCACAACCAAGCGTCACCACCACCAGTACAGCATGCTCTGTTAAACAGCTTGGCTATGTAGTTTTTGCTATGATCCTTGTAAATTTTTGTTGGTAATTTTTTACAAATATTTGCACAAACATATACGTTTTAGAAACATGTTCTAAGAACCAATGTAAACAGATTGTAAACATATAATTTTTAAGAGAACTTGTTCTCAAAAACCTGAAAACATTTTTGACATAATTCATGCCGCCAATTCTACCAATAATTGACACTTTGTGACAACTGTGATAAAGTTGTATAAAAGATAGTAACAGAGATGGTAAATGAAAAGTAATGGTATAAAATGAAAGCCTGAAGCCTCCTTACGGAATACTTCTCTATAATACAGATTGTTTATGGACAGCGGACACTTAATCTCTTACCTGGAGTGAAAACATATTGTAGAATAATATACAGTGCATAACGGATATAATGTAGTTTAATTAAAAATCACCATTAGTGAATATAGATCTGTAGTTTTTTATTTATTCTTTTAAGATCGACTTTCTATTTCCGTGCGCCTACATAGCGTTGTTCTTTCTATTTATAATAATAATAAAATATAATAAGTTTGTCACAGTTCACATATTATGTACATATCAACTACATACGTTTAAAATATAATAATCTTACAAAGACAAGTTGTGACATGAGAAAGTAGCAGGACTTTCTTCCCAGTTGACACCCCTAAAATTAATATTTACCTTCTAATCCTCTATCAATCAACCCAGCCCTGGCTTTGCAGAGCCTATTTTGCTTCGCTCGCTCTCTCGCCTGAATGTGTCGGGCAATTTCCATCTAATGTCGGGCAAACTTTGTCCCCCCCCCTCCCCTCTCCCCTTCTTTAGCTTTATACATAATGAGAACATGAAATAAAATGAAGACGTGACATCATGACTTCGTGCAAATTTACAATAACCCGCAATATCATGTTTTCTGAGCTTTTAAGAGTTTTAAAACTAGATCCAGGCATCCTCAGATATATTAATTATTAAATCCAACCCTAACCTAATATTTACCTTCTAATCCTCTATCAATCAACCCCACCCTGCTTTGCAGAGCCTATCTTGCTTCGCTCGCTCTCTCGCCTGAATGTGTCGGGCAATTTCCATCTAATGTCGGGCAAACTATTGTCCTCCCCCCTTCTTTAGCTTTATACACAATGAGAACATGAAATAAAATGAAGACGTGACATCATGACTTCGTGCAAAATTACAATAACCCGCAATATCATGTTTTCTGAGCTTTTAAGAGTTTTAAAACTAGATCCAGGCATCCTCAGATATATTAAATCCAGATCCAACCCTAACCGAGACACTACAATGACTAAAAAGGCTCGTTTTCGTGATTAAGATATTGGGTTTAGAGCCCTCTATCTTGTTACAGCTGACACATAGTTACGAAAGGCCTGTGAAAGACCTGTTTATAATTTCGTAATCGGTAACAAGAGAGCTGTAAAGCCAATGTCACAAACACGGAAACGAGGTCGTAGCGAAGTACTTTCCGGAAGGGTGTATTGAAGATCACCACTACGTCAAAATATAATGCTGGGACAACAAGATAATACAGCTTTAAGTTGATATTTCATAAACAACTGATTCGATGTCTCGCTCTGTCTGTGTACGTGGGTGTATTTGGTGGGGGTCTGCTGGCACAAACCAATGACGATATGTTTATGAATTTATAGCAACAAAGTAGGAATACAAAGACTGTGGAATGTAATATACGCAATTATCTATAGTTTCCGTTCTCATATCGAAACCAAGCGTATACCCAAGTACCTTGTTAGTCTTGCCCATTACTTAGTGTTAAGGCACTTGAGTGGCACAGAAATCGATCATTTTTACAATTAAGGTTATAGAACGTTTCCTAGTTAGTCTTGTGTATTATTGGTTAAAGACACAAAAGTAACAAATTGATCCAAGTATATTACAATTCAAAGTTTATAATTTTTAACTAAGAATGGCGTTAGCCTTCGTTCTGTGGTATAGCGTGGTATATTTCGCAAGTACGGTATCATCTGCTCAAGCTATCGAATGCCAAGGCACAGCACGATATACGTTAACCTTTCGAGCGGAATGGACACGCCAATCTCATCAAGATTTTCCGAGCAGCCCTCATTTCTCAACCCTCGTAGGCTGTAGTCATAAGGCCTCCTATGTGATGTGGACACCAGGAATAAAGGCGACCATAGGAGTTAAAAATGTGGCAGAATTCGGTATGAATTTTCAGTTTCTTTATTTAAAGTCAGGAATACCTTTAGACTAATGCGTGTGATTTGTGAAAAAAGCTAGCACTGTTAAATTAAATAGGGCCCGTACGATTTGATAGTTTTTAAGGCGATGAAAATGAATATCGTTACCAAATAGCAAATGTTTGGGATTTCCTGGCGATTCATGGTTAACTATCATATCGTTCTGAACCTATCAAATCTAAGACTAAGTATATAGCTTTTACTTTTGAACAATGTCTGTCTGACTTCTAGTTATCTGGGAAAGTAATGGATAAAACTTATTAAGTGAGCGATAAACCTTCGTTCAAATTTCTTCCTAAAGTTTGGTACGTCAAATAAGCTATAAATAACTTGTGGAACTCGAGGAGCAAACAAAAAGGTTCGACAAGGCAAAATTTAACCATAAATTGATAGAAATGTTATTGATTCTTATTTTCAAACGTAAACTATTTTTCTGATAACTACGGTACACAAAAATCAAAATATTAGTCTCTTCACTCAATGTTTATCCAAAGTTAATACAGTGGGCAAGAGCCCGTCCCCGCCGTTCAGTGATCTTTGTTTTGAAATCTGTGCAGAAATGAGAGGGGGATTGCAATGTCTGGAATAACGATAAAACTGGCTGTTTCGTCATTATATTATTTTTCTTCAGAATTAACTCGTCTCAGAATGCGAGAAATGCTGTTCTAGAAGGATAGAGACCTTCAAATTCAAAAGTTATACGCCTACGCAACTGGGCTGATAGTGATTAAGATCTAAAACCAGCTAGCTTGATTGTCTGTTCAGGTTATTTTAGTTGGCTATTTCCTTATATAAAGTATACTGAGTATAATTATTCGTATTAATTCATATGTTGAACTATTTATGTGACTTCGTCTTCGATGACGTTCGAAAAGCTACGAGCCCACGTACAATTATTAATATAATAGTCTATATTTATAATATAAACAAAGCTTTGTTCACGACTATTAAATCTTAGTGAAAACCTTCCTTCCTTGTGCTTTATGCTGTACGAGCTTGACAGGAATGAAAGTGGTAAATTACCTGCCTTTCCTGTTGCCTAGTGTTGGCAAAAACTAAGTGAAAAATTGCTTCCTGCCTCTATTAATGTTAAATACTTTTTTTCGACGATCTCCTGAATGCCAACTCACAAGTCTGTCATTGATTCATTTGGTTGTAAGATGCTGTGAGAATGGAATAAGTCAGTATAGTCTAGGCTTAACGAAATGCCGGTTAACAGAACTCAAATGTTGTAGAGAGCATCTCATAGCTGGTGCTAAATCAATACATCATATTTTATGCTACAGGTTCTTCAAGTGCACTCCTCGGAGAAATGGACAATGAAATAACCTTGAAGAAAGCCTATATAAGATACATACGTGGTGGCATCTCTAATACAGGAAGGCGTGACGTCGATGACATCGAAGTCAACTCGGAATATCCCCTCGTGTCCTTCATTACCATGATCGCACCCTCGCCTGATTGGTTCGTTGGTGTGCACGACTATAATTTATGCAACACAACAACAGGAAAATGGTTAGACTCGAGAACAAGAGATTTGCCACCCTATGATGCAGGCACTGACAGTGGACCTCGCTTTGGAAGTCCAAATCAAATAACAAATCCAAAAGAAGATATTCATCTGCTTACAAACAACACAGAAGGATCGTTCAAAGGCGATAAACCAGTAAGGAGATTTGGAACTTTTACTTTTGTGAAGACCTATGATTACAAACCAATTATCAAGCCATCTTCAACAATACAACGAAGCCAACCAAGTTCTAGTGTGAACATTAAGTCTATTATAATTGGTCCCAAAGCCGGCAAAGGGAGCTCAACACCACTTTCCACCATACAACAGATCCAACCAAGTGCTAGTGTGAATGCAGAACGTTCTACTATCATACTTGATCCCAAAGGGAGCTCAACACTACTTTCCACCATGCAACAGATCCAACCAAGTGCTAGTGTGAATGCCGAAAGTTCTACTATCATACTTGATCCCAAAGGGAGCTCAACACCACTTTCCACCATACAACAGATCCAACCAAGTGCTAGTGTGAATGCCGAAAGTTCTACTATCATACTTGATCCCAAAGGGAGCTCAACACCACTTTCCACCATACAGCAACGGCAACCAAGTGTTAGTGTGAATGCAGAAAGTTCTACTATCATACTTGATCTCAAAGGGAGCTCAACACCACTTTCCACCATGCAAGAGATCCAACCAAGTGCTAGCGTGAATGCAGAAAGTTCTACTATGATACTTGATCCCAAAGGGAGCTCAACACCACTTTCCACCATACAGCAACGGCAACCCAGTGTTAGTGTGAATGCCGAAAGGTCTACTATGATCATTGATCGAAAAGAAAGCTCTACACAACAAGTAGAGTTGAAAATTACCCCTAGTACAAAACCCAACGTTCCAACTCAAACCCTGGCCCCTACAGCAACAATCACAGTTTCAGCAAGCATCAAGATGACACCAACACTCACCACAACCAGTGCGGCAGGCTCTGTTAAACAATTTGCTTTTATCCACGTCATCTTTGCTACGATCCTTGTACATTTCTGTTTGTAATTTTTTTACAACTATTTGTACAAGCATGTATGGGGTTTGATATAAACATGTAATTATTATAAGAGGATTTGTCCTCAAAAAGGATAGAATATCAATGGTAAGAACGTAGTAGTAGAGAAAGCATAACAGGGAAAGGAAACAGCAGTAACAGAAAAATGTACTGTACAGTGAAGCCTTACTTTATGAGGTTGTAACTTTCGCAATTCTATAGAAAGGAATAGCAATGATAAAAGGAACGCAACTGACTAAAAAAGTAATGTCAAAGTATAGACAGTGCACCTCGCTTTGGAAGTCCAAATCAAATCAAATAACAAATCCAAAAGAAAATATCCACCTGCTTACAAATAACATAGAAGGATCGTTCAAAGGCGATAAACCCGTAAGGAGATTTGGAACTTTTATCAATTTATCAATTTCAATTTATCAATTTATTAAAAGATACCAATTTTGCAGTTAAGAACTGAATTACACTGGTTTACATGCATACGAGTAAAATGTCTACAAACACTCATTATTTACAAGCTGTTAATTGTAATAGTTCTAGGTAAGAATATAGCTTAAATATTATTATTTAAAACTGGAGTTGTAGGCCTTACTACCGGCCATAATAAAACTGTTAGCAAACCTACTTGTCCTATGCTTTGGTATTGAAAGACAATTATCATTACGTAGAGAATATCCTGTTTTATGTCTTGGGGGAACGAGAGAATGGAGTTTATGGGATGATTCATCACACATTTGAGCAAAAAGTTTCTCGCAAATGGTCTTTCTCCGCAGGAACAGTGACACCACCCCAGCACGTACCAACGCATCTTCATATTTGAGATCAGGAAAGATTATACGAAGGGCTCTCCGTTGAATACTCTCGATCTCGTCGCTCAAATATTGCGCCAAGCTATAGTGCCATACCTCGCACGAAAATTCTAAGATTGGTCGAACGCAGGTAGTAAAAACCCGGACTAACTTGCTCGCTGGTATAGAGACTCTCTTAAGTAATCGTAAGGCATACAATCGCTTCGAAGCTTTCTTGCAGATATAATCAACGTGCTCGATCCATTTCAGATCTTTAGATATCATGACACCAAGTAATTTAGCATGCGGAACCACAACTATGTCGTGACCGTCAATGGTGATCGGCGGAAGAGCCCCGGGATCAAGAGGAGAAAACCCAACACGAACTTCTTTTGTTTTTATAGGGTTCAGTTTCATGTTATTCTCAGACGCCCATTTGGTAGATTCTGTAATTTGAGACGGTAGGACCGTGTTGGATTCTTGACCCTTCAAGACGATCTCCCAGATAGTGGTGTCGTCAACAAATTTCACTGTATCGTCAGAAACATTCAAGTCGTTCACCATGATGAGGAAGAGGAGGGGGCCCAATTTGGTTCCTTGGGGGACTCCTCCGTTGGTAGTTCTCCAAATCGAAAAATTAGAGCCAATTCTTGTTCTCTGACTTCTGTCGGTAAGGAAATTGGCAATCCAATTAATTAGGATAGGGTGTACGCCCATGTTAATGAGTTTCTGCATCAGAATGTTGAAATCGATACGGTCAAAAGCTTTGGAAAAGTCTAGCATGCATATCCGTAGGCAGGCTCCAGGTGTGTCCATCGCTTCGTACCATTTATGAAGCAGGTGTATTAGCGCCATGGTGGTGTTAGATCCTTTAATTGAGCCAAATTGGAGCTTATCGATTTGGTCGCGGATTGACTGCAAGAGCCAGTTATATGGAAATGATTCCAGAATCTTACTCACTATGGGCGTGAGCGATATCGGTCGAAAATCAGAGTCAACATCCAGAGCAGGAGAAAACTTTGCTGCAGGAATGACATTTACAGATTTCCACAGGGATGGAACGCAACCATCATGAATAGAGGCATTAAATATGGATGCTAATGGGCGACACAATAACGAGGAATTATCACGGAGGAACCAAGGCGTGATTTCGTCAGGACCTGCAGCTGAAAAGGACTTGACGGATTGTAATGCTTTCTCGGTGTCGTCGACTGAAATGTAAAAGTCGGGAGGAGAATCACCGACTTCGAGGGGCGTCCAAGCAAGCGGAGGCAGGGAATTCCCAACAGCAACAAACTTGTCGTTGAACAGGTTGGCCAGAGCCGAATCGGAATAGGGCTGTCCGTTGTACACAAGTGTGGAAACGTTTTTAGATGGGGCAAGGCCAGCAATATTTTTGACAGCGGACCACCACTTCCGTGGATTCGACTGAGTGGTATTAGCGACATTGTTGGTATAATACTTTGAGCGAGCATGCCTACACAAGATATTAATTTTGTTCCTATAGAATCGAAACATAGGCTTGTTTCCTTTCCGCCATGTTACTTGGCGTTTCGATATTAATCTTTTTATCTCGGGAGTAATCCAGGGCTTATCGCTGCTGTCAGATTTAATACGTTTCAGAGGAAGATATTTATCAACAATACCATCAACAATGGAAGAGAAATATTGGAACTGTTCGTCACAAGAGCTCAGATGATACATTGGAGACCAGTTAACACTGGATAGGGCTTCAGTGATTAACCTCCGATTGGAGGGACGCGCATCTCGAACCATCTCGAAATGGCACTCGAATGAAGCTGAACTCGAGGATTATCCGGATTTGTCAACTAGTGAGGAAGAAACGTTCGCTAAGCAGCAACTGGGAAAGCCTGATGGGGAAGATTCAAGTTTGTTGGGTCTTGGCTGGAACAAGAAATGTGATGAGATAAGCGTCTCCTTTCCAGAGGATAAAGTTGAAGAAACGAAACGAGGTATGCTGAGCAAGCTTGCAAGTATATATGACCCCCTCGGACTCGTTTCCCCTCTTACCTTGCAAGGAAAACTGTTGTACCGAGCCATTTGTGACCAGAAGCTTGCCTGGGACAAGCAGTTACCGACCGAATTAAAACGTGCATGGAAGAAGTGGGAACGCCGTCTTCCCCAGCAAGTTAACGTGCCTAGATCGTTAGCGGCATACAAACAACCGATACAGTACATTCAGTTACATGGTTTCGGCGATGCAAGTGGTGACGGTGTAGGAGCAACAGCATTCGCAGTTGTAAGTCAAGAATCAGGTGTTACACAACGTCTCGTGGCAGCGAAAGCGAGGTTAGCGAAGAACGGACTTACCATTCCCCGATTGGAATTGGTGGCAGCTCATATGGTGACAAACCTCCTTACCAATGTCAAGGAGGCTCTGAATGGTTTCCCTGTTACAGATATTTGTGGGTGGACGGACAGTTTAGTTCTTCATTGGATCAGAGGTGGGGGACAGTACAAACAGTTTGTCGAGAATCGTGTCCGAAAGATTCAAGCAAAACTAGAGATCAAATGGAGACACGTCCCCACGGAAGAAAACCCAGCAGACCTGGCAAGCAGGGGTGGTGATGTTCAACACAAGGAGCTGTGGTGGAATGGTCCTGAATGGATGGCCAACCCCGAGAATTGGCCACAAGATATTGTAAGTCAGTCATCTGCAGAGCCAAGCAGAAGCAAGAGTAACTAGAGAAATTTTCGCAGGAGCTACAGAAACCAACCCCGACCAGCTAGATCTTATCCTTGAGCATTACGAACTGACTAAAGCAATAAGAATCATGGCATGGATAGCGAGATTCATTTACAACAGCCAACATCCCAACGACGTCATCCGAGGTCCACTAACAACCGAGGAACTAATGTCCCAGCATAGTTTTTGGATCAAACGAGCGCAACAAAGCAACGACAACGAGAAAGATCGTTTACGACTTAACCTTCAACCAAATGAACAGGGGATTCTTCAGTGCCGAGGCCGAGTTCAAGGCGAGTACCCAATCTATCTCCCAGATTCTCATCCATACACGAAGAAGTTGGTGCAACGGGAGCATTTGCGCACTCTTCATGGGGGAGTCCAGCTGACGATGACGAGCGTGAGAAAGGATCACTGGGTTCCACGTTTACGGAGACTTGTCAAGAGAACTGTGAAAGAGTGCCACGGATGTCGAAGGTTCCAAGCCCGGGCTGTGGCGGACCCCCTCCTGGCAACTTGCCCGAAGATCGGACACGAGGAACACACCCATTCCAAGTTATTGGCGTAGACTACGCTGGGCCCATCCGTTATAAGAAAAGAGTGAAAGCCGAAGGGAAAGCCTATATAGCTGTATACACCTGTTCTTTGTGTCGTGCATTACACCTAGATCTGATGACATCTCTCGAAACCCAAGAATTTCTGTTAAGTCTAAAGATATTTATTGCGAGAAAAGGACGACCACAAAAGATATACTCCGACAATGGGACCACATTCGTTGGGGCGGCTAATTGGCTAAGAAAAGTGAGCAACGACGAGAAATTCAACCACTACCTTGCAGAGAACAAAATCGTCTGGCAGTTCAATTTGAGCCGAGCCCCTTGGTGGGGCGGTCAATTTGAGCGAATGGTTGGTCTCGTGAAGAAAGCTCTACACAAAACTATCGGAAACGGTCTTCTGTCCTGGAAGGAACTCGAAGAGGTGCTGCTCGACGTGGAGGTGTGCTTGAATGATAGACCACTGAGCTACGTGGAAGACGATCTGCAATTTCCTGTTCTTACACCGAATACTTTGATGTTCCATCAGACCAATGCCATACCAGAAGCACAGCCACATCATTGCGAAGAGATTGACCTAAGGAAGAGAGCAAAGTACCTACAGAAATGCAAAAACGCGATGTGGAAGCGATGGTCGAACGAATATTTACGTGGATTACGAGAAAGACATAACCTTACCCATAAAGTCAAGCAGTCCAAGTTATCGGTCGGAGATATAGTGATAATAAAGAGTGACGACAAGAATCGGGGAAATGGCCCTTGGGTATTGTTACGGAACTGTTTCCAGGTCGAGACGGGGTGGTGCGGGCTGCTAAATTACGTGCAGGCAAAAGTTTTCTCGAGAGGCCAACACAACATCTATATCCACTCGAATTGTCCGTTGACATACCGAAGATGTACCCACTCAGTGACTTGAACGCGGATGCGAGAGAATTCAGACCGAAGAGACGAGAGGCAATCGCGGCTCGAGAGAGAATAAGGCAGACTGTGCAAGATGAAGAAGATGATGAACTTTAAGCTCAAACTTTAGATACAATGAAACTAATGAAAACGTTCATATCAAGCATTGAGTCATTGACTCATATAATATAACTGTTGTTGTTTAGTTAAATAACTTCTAATAGGTGAAGTCTCCTCAATAGGACATAAACTATTTCACAATTTATGAGGGGAGAGTGTCGGAAACTTCATTTTACATTCATATAAGGTAACCGGAAATCACGTGATATGGCGTGACCCCACATGGCGTGACATGTAGAGAGAAAAAACTTGCGATCGTTGTGATTTATATATCTGTATTTCTGTGAAACTTGTGATAAAAATACAACTAAAAAGTTACTTTAAATAGTCAATTTCGATCGTTTTCAACAATGCACATAAAAGAATTTTTAATCGGCAGCCATTTATGAAAAGGGTCTATGGCGCCACATTTCACGAAATATCGAAGGACACAATATCGAAAATAAAATACACTGCACTGTTTCAAAACTTGATGAAACTTGGTTGAAATCTTCTTTAGCCATTTATGATTATGTAAAAGTACAACAACTGGATGATATTTGCGAGACTCGGCGATAAAAAGCAAACAAGACGGCAAAATATGGCTGAAATCGTGTGACAATCCTTAAAATATGGCTGAAAAACAATGACAATCCTTATGAAATCCACAATAATTATATTAAATTAAGCATAGTTTTTCATCCCATGATATTTTTTTAGGAAGGAAATAAGAAAATTTAATTTCTGCCACTCTGCCAGGCATATTAGTTATTTTATGCATAATTAGCAATTTACCTGGGGTGGTGCATGGTCATTTTCTTGTAAAATATTACACTTAGATAAATTTTTCCCTCCAATGACCACCCCTAAAAGCAACCCTTCAACCCGCCATGGTCATTTTACCTTAAACAGTCGAGATTACCTGTCCTAAATGAAACGCATACAAACTCATATACATGCAGGTCCTAGACTATTAATAATAACACCTGACAAGAAAAATGTTTTGAGCCCATACTGCTTACACATACATGCAAGCACACACACATACCCCGAGCAGACAAGCATTTTTCAGACAAGTTTGTCAGTTTGTGTCTTTTCCTTAACAATCCGTCACTTTAATTGTTTCACGTCACAGGGATTATTCTAAGGAAATTTTATCACTGCACAAAAGCGCGAAAAATGATCAAATTTATATAAATTTAGCGACATTTTAGAAAACGTTCTGACTGCCCTGCATACAGTAAGTGCATGTATACTCTACTCTGCTTCTGCAGCTTAAAGTTTGCCCCACAGTCTAGGACCTGTATATGAGTTTGTATGCGATTCATTTAGGACAGGTAATCTCAACTGTTTTAGGGTAAAATGACCATGGCGGTCAACATGGCATATGTGCGAAAAGCTGAATCCGGGACGAAAGTCCTGAAAATGACCCCGCCCTGAAACGGCAGTGTCGACATAGCTCTAACTTCCGAAAAGGAAAAGCGATAGCCTTTCTGAAGTGCTTATAGTGTTTAGAAGGGTTACTTTTAGGGGTGGTCATTGGAAGGAAAAATTTGTCGAAGTATAATATTTTACCAGAAAATGACTATGCACCACCCCAGGCAAATTGCTGATTATGCACAAAATAACTAATATGCCTGGCAGAAATTAAATATTCTTATATCCTAAAAAAAATTATCATGGGGTGAAAAACTATGCTTAATTTAATATAAATATTGTTGATTTCATAAGGATTGTCATTGTTTTCTTTAAATATAATACATTTTATTTCACTTACCCCCCACGAAAACACGATTTCAGCCATATTTTGCTGTCTTGTTTGCTTTTTATCGCCGAATCTCGCAAATATCATCCAGTTATTGTACTTTTACATAATCATAAATGGCTGAAGAAGATTTCAAAGAAGGTTTCATCCACTTTTGTAACAGTGCAGTGTATTTTACCTTCGATAATTGTGTCCTTCGATATTCCACCAAATCGCCGCCATTTTAATGGCTCGCCGCTTCTCTGTCTGATAAATGCAACTTCTTCGTTTCCATATGTATTTAGATTACAGTATCCAAGAGTACTTCATTGTAGAATAGTCCCAATCCAAAAATTGGCAACATTTGTCCCATTAGGAAGGAAAAATCCTCCCGTATACAATTTAGGTTCAAAATAAAAAACAAATCATTTGAAAGTCAAGCGCAATCTTCGCGAAAACTTCTCGTGGACACATGACAGGGGGGTTGAATATTTTCACGAATATGTTCGCCACCACAGAAACATAACTAAATATATTGTATTTATTGTATTTTTATGATTTATAATAAAAACAATAAATATTTGCATAGTTTTGTCATAAATCATAAAAATACAATAAATACAATATATTTAGTTATGTTTCTGTGGTGGCGAACATATTCGTGAAAATATTCAACCCCCCCCCTGTCATGTGTCCACGACAAGTTTTCGCGAAGATTGCGCGTGACTTTCAAATGATTTGTTTTTTATTTTGAACCTAAATGGTATACGGGAGGATTTTTCCTTCCTAATGGGAGAAATGTTGCCAATTTTTGGATTGGGACTATTCTACAATGAAGCACTCTTGGATACTGTAATCTAAATACATATGGAAACGAAGAAGTTGCATTTATCAGACAGAGAAGCGGCGAGCCATTAAAATGGCGGCAATTTGGCGGAATATCGAAGGACACAATATCGAAGGTAAAATACACTGCACTGTTATAAAAGTGGATGAAACCTTCTTTGAAATCTTCTTCAGCCATTTATGATTATGTAAAAGTACAATAACTGGATGATATTTGCGAGATTCGACGATAAAAAGCAAACAAGACGGCAAAATATTGGGGGGTAAGTGAAATAAAATGTATTATATTTAAAGAAAACAATGACAATCCTTATGAAATCAACAATATTTATATTAAATTAAGCATAGTTTTTCACCCCATAATAATTTTTTTTTGCAAATAAGAATATTTAATTTCTGCCAGGCATATTAGTTATTTTGTGCATAATCAGCAATTTACCTGGGTGGTGCATAGTCATTTTCTGGTAAAATATTATACTTCGACAAAATTTTCCTTCCAATGACCACCCCTAAAAGCAACCCTTCTAAACACTATAAGCACTTCAGAAAGGCTATCGCTTTTCCTTTTCGGAAGTTAGAGCTATGTCGACACTGCCGTTTCAGGGCGGGGTCATTTTCAGGACTTTCGTCCCGGATTCAGGGTTTCGCACATATGCCATGTTGACCGCCATGGTCATTTTACCCTAAAACAGTTGAGATTACCTGTCCTAAATGAATCGCATACAAACTCATATACAGGTCCTAGACTAAATGAAAATCGTTTTCTAGGCATTTTTCGATGTCACAGCAAACGTAACGGCCTAAAAATAGCGAGATCTTTTGATTTCCGAAATATCGCCAACTGTATCCAGATTGTTGATTTATATAAAAGCCTTATTAAAAAACTTAAAGCAGGTCAAAAGACTATAAAATTGGCCCTTGCTCTTGACATTGCTGAAAATCGACGATCATGGCATAATGTCAAAGTATAGCTGTCTGTTGAAAATCTACGGTATAAAAATCATGCATCAAAGATAAGTTAAACGACAATATATCATAATTATATGTCTTTCATGAGCACTGTTTTGTAGTGTTTACTACATTTATAAATTTTATAAACAGCTTTCGTTTTGACACAATTCATGCCATTGCGAGCGGTTTAGGGTAGAAAAAACCTCAAAACGTTGCCAAATACAACGCAGAAAATGCCTTATTGCTTCGCCATTTCATAATCATTTTAAGGGGCAGCCGCTGACTAACAAGTGCGAGGGAAAAGGCTCCAAAAACAAAATAAATTGCGGGAAATGCAAATATATTCAAATTTGTTTGGTCTTCTAAAGTTTAGAATGTTGTATTATCTTCGTTATAGTTTTAAGAAATTCATTCCTGCAGTCTTTCACTTATATAATCGTCTATCCCTGGATAAAATTTATATTTAACTCTTTGTAAATGGACATTGTCGACTGTATTTATAAAGTTTGTTTATAGTAGATTTGAAGTCGCGCGTATGTCACGCGCGCGCGTGGGAACAGTTTCTGCGCCCACAATTAAAACCGCTGACTGTCCGTGATTTCTGGCCATGAGCAAATGACTAATGCACTAGAGATAAACAGATGATTCACAATGAAAACTTTAAAAATGTTAGTGGCTAGAAATAGAAAACTCGAAAATTTATGTCTATGCGTATGGCAGTCTGTATTTGTGAGCATCTGACACTGTACATTTGTGATATAGATCATAGTATATTAGGAAAATATTATGATTAATAGAAACCAACAAAAAGGCTAAAGCCTTACTATAATTACCGAATACGAATTATTTACTAAATCCAAAATTTTAATTATATTAATCACTGACAGACATATATTCTATGTTTACCTCTGTATTTTTATCTTTTCCATGCAATGTTTTAATTTTAGGGCCCCATGATAGCAGGGACCCAAAACAAGTTCTCGTCAGCTCGTCACTCAATCCAGAACATGCGATTGACGTATCAAATGTTTACATTTGCTATTCAGTAATATTGGGCTCTAGTCCAATAGACAATACAATACAATACTGTCTCTTTTAAAAATCTTATACAAGACGCGTAGTAACAAGAAAATCGATGCAAAGCATGTGAAATTGTCAACGTTTACAAGAAAGGAATCTAATGGTGTATTTTAAATACATTAAGGCCGTTTTCCACTAGGCGAATTTTTTCGCGCGACGCGATTTTTATCGCGCGAACAGGTCACGCGATGAATGTTTGCAATCTCCACAGCGAGCGGCCAATAAGCGAGCGCGAACAAGCGACAAAGTAACAAAACAAGTAAACAGGAAATGGCTGCCTTCAATATACGATGGTTTTTAAGGCGCAAAATACTTACTTTGTTGCTTTTAAGAAAGAGAAGGCAGCGCTTAAAATATAGGAAGAGATTCTGGGTAAGGAAAATATACCAAGAACGACAGGCGAAGGGAGAATATCACATTCTTGTGAAGGAATTGATGCTTGGCGACCCAGAATACTTCTTTCGGCTCTTTAGGATGTCGCCCAGCACTTTTGAGCTGCTATTGACCTGGGTCGCTCCTTTAATAACAAAAAAGTCCACCAGAATGCGAGAACCAATTCCTCCAGACGAAAGGCTCTCAGTTACTTTGAGATATCTAGTCACGGGTGATGCTTACACTACAATTGCGGCGAGCTATCGTATAAGTCCTACGACGGTGGGGCGAATTGTGCAGGAAACTTGTGATGCATTGTGGAACGCTCTTTCCGAGCAAGGATTTTTGCGTGTCCCTTGCAATACCAATGACTGGAAAAGCATTGCAAACGATTTTGGACAGATGTGGAATTTCCCTCATGCACTCGGGGCTTTGGATGGAAAGCATGTTGTGATGCAAGCACCAGCACGTTCAGGCTCAATTTTTTTTAACTATAAAAAAACTCACAGTATTGTGTTGCTTGCTGTTTGTAATGCTCGGTATGAATTTACATTGGTAGACATAGGAGACACTGGTAGGCAAGCTGACGGCAGCGTATACACAAACAGTTACCTTGGCCGAGCAATTCAGAATGATTAGCTTAATTTCCCTCAACCAGAGGCCTTGGAAAGTTGCCCAAGCAAACCATTCCCATATGCTTTCTTAGCAGATGATGCTTTTGGTCTTAAACCAAACCTCATGAAATTTTACCGCAACCAGTATTTACCTCTAGATGAGAGAATTTTTAATTATCGACTGTCAAGAGCACGGAGAGTAATTGAAAATGCATTCGGTATTGCAACAACTCGTTTTAGAGTTTTTCGCAGGCCAATCATTGCAACAGAGCAAAAGGTCGTCCTTATCACCAAAGCAGTTGTGGCTCTGCATAATTTTCTAATGAGTCTTACTCTAAGTCAAAGGAGCAACTCATACAATTATTGCCCGGCAAATTATGTGGATCAAGAAAATCCATGTGGTACAACTCCAGGTGAGTGGAGAAACCATGACAGTTCAGATGGCTTAATACCTATTGCTCGAACTGGGTCAAATAATTACTCAAGAACTGCAAAGCAAGTGAGAGACGACTTCAAAGACTATTTCATGAATGAAGGAGCAGTAGACTGGCAATGGGCAACTGTGACAAGAACATAAAATTCTTGAGACAACTGATATTACTGAATTGCATGCAGAGTTATTAAAGTACCTATGTCATGATTTGGGATTTTAAAAATGTTTTATCTTTGGTATATTTTATGAAGAAATGCAATATATCTTTATAAGAAAATATACCATCTTCATAGGATTATCAGCCCTCAAAGTTACCAGATATGACATCAAATCGAGAATTTTATACGCTAACAAAAGAAATCTAATTTGCAATTCCCGGTTTGATGTCATATCCGGTAAATTTGAGGCCTGATAATCCTGTGAAGATGGAATATTTTCTTTTAAAGATATATTGCATTTCTTCATAAAATATACCAATGATTACAAAATATAATAATTTACACAAATTATGACATAGGCTTTAAATTGTTATTTATACTTTGAAAACTGATCTTGAATAATGTTATTGATATTTTATTGAATGAACACTTTGAAAGATTTTATTAAATTATACTTATAACATTTAAATAAAAAATAATCCTGTTAAATAGGTGATAATATGCACTGTTAATACATAATATGTACTGTTACATAAAAACAAAATGAAAGTGGTGATACCTAAACAACATTGTCATCATTGTATTCAATGTCAAGCAACAACTGGTTGATTTTAATTTTTGCCAGCCTCTTCTTCTTATTTGGCATCCCTCTCAGAATGGGAACCAGACTCCGACAATATAACAAATCTTCATCATCTTCATCCTCTGCCATCTTTTTGTATGAAGCATCAGTGTCACTCAACTGCTTCAAGAGCATCAGCTCTGCTACATCCCTGTTCATGCGATTTCCACTTCTGTTTGCGGCAAACAATTCTGTGCATGGTGCTGGTCGTTTGCTTGCTCTTGTTGCTTCTTGTGGCGTGTGGGAAGTCGTGGGAAAATCGTCAGTCAGATTTATACTCTGACTAACCGGGGTTGTTGGGGGGAGAGATATCAGAGGATTCAGAGCATTTAGGGTTGCTAAATTGCTCTCTGTGGGCCTGTTACCAACACCGCCATGTAGAAATGCCATTTGCTCGAAGAACCTGCACTGAGGCAAAGATGAAGCAGCCGCCCCAGATCTGGTCATCTTGGACCTCTTGTCGAGACATTTTTTTAAACTATCCTTCAAGTTCTTCAGTTGTCTTTGAAGAAAATCCACTAAAATATTAAAAATCCATTTCAATAGTAAGAAAATTTACAGTATTAAAAATACATACAATAATATACTTTTACTTTAATGCATTAGTATATCTATAGTATATTGGATACTCACGCGATTCAGGTATTCATGAACGCATTATATGAAATTCATATATGATAAAACTAGAAACAAAACTTAGCTATTCGAAGCATTTAATTAATATGATAAAACTAGAAAACAAATACTTAGCTTTATTAAAATGTTTCAGGCTTCAGCCTGTTTGCAAATTCAGTCAATTGAAAGTCGTCGACATTTGAATGGGTATCTTGCATGTATCGTTCATTCTCCTTTTCAAAATTTTATAGACATAGTGCTCCAAATATTTACTTAAAAGTTTAAACAATATTACAATAATGGCTGCCTATAAAATTGTTGGTTGCAGTGAGGAGGCGTGGCTTCATGAACGGAAACGGAAGCGCATATTGATTAAATACATTAATGATTAATCCTTACCGTCCCTGTCAAAAATTTCAGACAGTTTCTTCCAGGCATTCGCTTTGACCGTACGGTCTTTGTATAAAGACGAGCTTGTGTCCCAAAGACAACTTAGTTGTCTGACTTCTTCGATGAAGAACTCTTTGTCAAATTCGACGCTAGTACTCTCCGTTGCCTCGACCGTATTCTGTTGTGTCTCCTCGCTTTCGGAACCTCTTCTAGCTTGCCGCATAAGTTCTTCAAGTGCGGAAATATTGTCTGCCGACAAATTTGCTAACAAATTTCCGTCTTCCATTTTGTAAAAAACATTGTGCTTCGAAAATATTACTTCGCAGTTCGCGTAAGCTGATTGGTCAATTTTTTCATCGCTCGCTTTTCGCCGCGAAAAAGTTGAACATGATCCTACTTTTTCGGCGGCAGCAGAGCGATTATTTTCGCCGAGAAAATTCGTCATTGACTGCAATGCGCATGCTCACGGCGAAAAAAATCGCGTCGCGCGAAAAAATTCGCCTAGTGGAAATCAGCCTTTACAATAAACGTTTGTTATAAAACCGCGCTCAAGTGTGAAGAAAGCATTGAATAATAACACGAGAGAGTACAGCGAGTAACGATTTGCTTGGTTTCTTGACTTGACTTAGGAAAAATGTAAGAATGTTCTTGTGAATTCAAAGGAAAGAAAATAAACAAAAATCAGCAAGTGTTTTTAACTGTTAAACATAATTTCCCCATGGAAGCATGTTGATGTAATTTGACACGTTCCCTACCCCCCCTCGGGCGCTAAATTTTGGACGAGGCACGGGACCAGCCGCTGCCAGGGTCTTTCCCAAAGAAAGATCCTGGGTACAAAGATGGTATTTGAGAGGCAATGCTGGGCAGCCATTAATGGGCTTGGATTTTTGTGGAGGCTTTCCAAAATCGGAGAGAAAATGAATCCTTTTCCTTAGGATTACCTTGCAGTCTTGCGATTTTACCAACATCTTGAGATTGATACCAATTCTCACAGGGGTGATTGATGTCGACCAACCAAGTAACAAGAAAGACTGCACTAAATAATGCCACTCTGGAAATGATGCCAAACCTTTTTACTCTGGATAACGACGGTGTTATGCCAACAATTGCGATCTCTGATACTGTATTAGAATTTCTCTTTCGTCGTCTTGTCCTGTTTATAGAAATAATAAATTGGTGAATTATTAATTATAATTTTATTTGTTCTATGATTAAATGCCTTGAATTTTATGGAGAATTTAATGGAGACATTTCTTTTAGATTATCTGTTTATAATAGTTTATTTAGTTAAATTGTGATTTTTTCGCTTTTCAGTGGCCGAATATAGGCCTATGAGCATTTTAATAGAACAAAAATGTTAATAGACATAAAAATTGGATTCAGTCAATTTTTTTATAATAGGCTAAATGTTGTAATGAATAGAATGTTCTTGGCAACTAAAAGTTGTAGTTTTTATTACCTTCTTTCAATTGTCTTGTTATGCAGAAAAGCTCTATTGCATTACAATTAACAATAGGCTTCTTATCCAGTTTTATCGAATTATATTTTAGCCGTTTGTCGGCATGCTTGGACTAAAGTAAAACATACGCAACTGACCTCAAAGCATGTACTTTTCGATGGTGAAGTTTTAATGGAATTTCGTTGTAACTATGAACTATGAAACACGGACATATAAACACGTTATTTACTTTTTAAGTCGGTCCGTATTGAAAATATATTTTCCTTTGGCCTTGGAAAACATTTTTAGTTCGGACCTCCCAACCGGTAGTCAAAACGTTAGCAGCTTTCTTGTTTGTTGCAGATGAAAATTGCATGCAATTGCAATGAAACTTCCTATAACCTATTCATGATTTTTTGTTTCCATTGCATCTGAAATTATTTGCCGTTTAGAGCGCTAAATGCTTGCAAATCCTTAAAAAAACCCAAGGAAATTAATCTAGTTATAAGTTCTTGAGGTTTGTCAAATAATAACTAAAATCCAGTGGCCATATAGGCTACAATGATTTGCCATATAATTCGGAGGAGCATTTTACTCGTTTTCTCGTACAATACTTGGCAGGATTATATGTTAAACCATTCAATAAGATATCTGTTAAAAGTTAATAAAATCAAAATTATAGATAAAAGGTTTTGTGCATGCATAAAAAATTGGAATTAATATTAAGTACTGGTCCTATATAATGGCTTTTTAACACCGCGCTTTATTTTGAGTAGGCCTACTTACCTCGAAGAAATATTTTCCTCGCTAAAATCAAGATAGTAGCTCCCGGAGTTAGGGACATGTTTAAAGCTGGCTAAACTAGCTGGATGAAGACGGAACTCAAAGAAATCAAACTGAGATATTTCAATGTCAACGTGTGACTCGTTGATTTCATTTTGATTCCAGGTTAAGATCGTTTTTGTTGAGTTTGCCCAATGTTCCACTTCTAACCCTTGTATATCAGGAGGATTTCTTCCTAAAGGAACTAAAACAAGAGCATGCATAATTGTAATTTTTTTATTGAATATATCTGCATGTCGTCGCCAAAAATAAACATATATTTTGCCATTCACATACAAATGGTATATATATTGCATGTCGTCGCCAAAAATAAACATATATTTTGCCATTCACATACAAATGGTATATATATATATATATATATATATATATATATATATATATATATATATATATATATATATATATATATATATATTT